AGAAATAAAGGCGCTGCTGAGCCTTCTTCATGATAGAGTCAGTGTTCACAGTCCAGGTTAGATCTTTAGAGATGTGAATTCCCAAAAACCTAAAGCTGGTGATTGTTTCCACTTCCGTTCCATCAATACTGAGTGGGCTGTGAGTGTGTGGCCTGTGTCTCCGAAAGTCCACTATTAGCTCTTTCGTTTTCTTTATGTTCAAGATATCACATAATACTGATGTACTGTATTCTGACTCACTGCCATAGGTCAACTATAAGCAATCGTTTTTTGTGATTTTATTAGTACTTGGACTGCCAGTTTATATATTTTCTAAGCACTATTAATACATGGAAAATATTTTTAAAAAACCTTCCCTAATACATTTTTAAACATTAATTTAACCTGCATTCCCTTCAGAAGAAAAAATAATAGATAAAGATACAATAAATGTGCAACATTTACAAAACAAAATACCTTGCAAAAAGACAGCTCTGGTTATATGTAATATGTTTTATACATGAAAAGAAGCTTCGCAGTTTAACACTATCACTAAACACAGTAGTATTGTGTTTTCACTGCTATCATGCCCTTAAAAATATTCTTCCTTAGTTTTTGAACATATTGTTGCTCTTACTAATAATCTACTGATAAATCTGAAGTACAAAATGTAAACATACTTTAAAATATTGCACTGAGAAAGTGATGTCTACTTTATTTTCTGTATGAATTCATACGCAAGTATGATTTCGTGATTTTGCAAAGCAATTCTTTAAACCTTTGAAAGGGACAAATACACTACAGCAGGGGTGTCCTAACTACGGCCCACCACAGTTTCTGAAACGGCCCGCGAGTTAATTTAGAACTATAAATTTAACTTGACTTGACAGTGATTCTTCAGTCGAAGGGCACAGCATCACTGTTCCTATCAGTAGATTAACTACTAGATCATCACTAGAGAGTAAAATTTGTGAAATCTTACAGGTATATTAAAATTATGTGATATCTTTACAGGGCTCCAGACTAAAAGAAAATACTTGGGAGCCACTAGCTCCTAAAATGAAACATTTAGGAGCCAAATGACTTTTTTTAGTCGCCAAATTATAGAATCAAAATAGTTCGTCTGCAACGCACCGAATTTCATATTCTTTAAAGTTGGCTGTTTCTTCAAAGGTGCGAAACACAGCCCGGGCTAAAGGTGCCTGCCTTCGGCCTCACTTCGCAATTACACAATCACAAGTATTTTTATGCTTCTGACTCTCTCCATGTTTTTTTTTACCATTTCTTTTTTTAAATGATTCATCCCTTTGAAAAACTCAGTTTTCCCTGCAACTTTCTGAGCCTTTAGAACAAGTAGAAAAACATTATTTAACTTTATCATACCTAAGCCAAGCAAATTCCTGAAGCCACGAAGTTCTAAAATACCATTCAAACCTGTTGACAGATGAATCAAAAAGTCTGTAATTTTACATTTCGCCATTGTTGGCAGATCAACTAGTGCCATGTGGAACGTTTGCTGTAGCCTGGGTTCTAGTGCGTAGCTTCTTAGCTTGCTACCTTTTAACCAAGTCACTGCCATGTGCTGTGATGAAGGGATGTAAATTAACACCCTATCACCACATGAAATTTGACCACATATCGACACGACAAGTTTTGATGTCCATCGCTAATGGCGACTAGATTTTAAATTGTCGCAAATTCTTTTTTGTCACATTTGCGACCATTTCAGTCACAGTCTGAAGCCCTGATTTATATAGATAATTTCAAGCTTACAGTTCAAAATACTTTATTTGATTATTTTTATTATTTAAGGTAGCCTATGGCCCGCGACTCCATATTGTTCTCCATCTGGCCCCCGATAAAAATGTTTGGGCACTTCTGCACTAAAGTATATAAAGCTACAGATGCAGCCATTCAAAATGCACGGTACAAACCTGCGGTACAGGAAACCCAAAAGCCACCGCAGGGCACCGTGGTAAATGATTGGCTGGCCAAAATGACCGACAGGGGCACTCGTGGTGCATTGGTCGGTAGTGAAAAGATTTAATCATTTAATCTCTTTACTGTGCACATTTTAATCCGCTTAGTATTGAATATTTATATGAAATTTGACCACTAAAGGGAAATTTTAGTAGCTGAGCATAAAAAGAAGAGGAGGATAACGC